ACCAGAAAGACTGATCCTGAATGGAGTTAACATCATTTTTCGCTGGTCTTCCATAAGAACATGATCTAAATAAAATACCTCTGATTTCATTAAAATCCTGTGTCTGTTTCCCTGCTCGGTCCGACTGCATCATTTTACATACATACATATATGTAACATAAAAAGCCTTTTATTAATCTTTTTATGTTAGTTTCTTTGCTATAAAACAACTCCTACTTTATTACTAATTAATTATTCAAATCGAAATACTTTCTCACACTTTTAAAAGCTACATCCTGTTCTAAATCTATTTTTGTTCATAAGATTTCATCACTAAGCACGATCCACTAAAGTTCACACACTGAACACATAGCACCAATAGTTGAAGATTTTGTTAACGGGTGTTGAAAACCATTGAAGGTTTTGTTTTTGAACATATGAGCAGACAGACTATCTGACCTCTGACGACGCAGCATCGCGTTGCACAAACCTATCGTAAAATCATTTTCTTTTTATTATTATTTTATACGATGGCATTTCCATCAAGTTAATATACAGTTGAGACCACTCCAATGGACACTTGAAAGAGAAGTCCCAAAAATCTTCTTTTAATTATTTTTGGCATCAAATTTCTTTAGTCATGTTTCAAAAGAATAATATGTGTTTCACGAGCAATGTCAGTTCAGCAACAATTTTATGATTCAGCCAATTATATTTTTATTTTCACTTTTGACTTATATTTTGAAGAAGCATTTTAGCAATTATTATCCTGCGCCTGCTTCAACAGCTGTTATAATTACTTTATTACTAATTAATTATTCAAATCGAAATACTTTCTCACACTTTTAAAAGCTGCATCCTGTTCTAAATCTATTTTTGGCCCAACTATGCATAAATTTAAATAAAGATCTTTTTTCCCTTTTAAGCCGTGGGAATCACTCGAGCAAGTTCATTAACCAATAGTAATTTCTGAGATTTCCCTCTTTTCCCTAAATAGAGACATTTTAGGATTTTTTTGCAAGATTTTCCCTGCCAGAAAGACTGTTTGCTGATGGAGTAAACATCACTTCTTCGCTCCCACTCAACTAAGAATGATCATATAAAAGTTACTCTGATTTAATTAAAATCCTGTGTCTGTTTTCCTGCTCGGTCCGACTGCATCATTTTACATATATATATTATATAATTAACTAACTCTGTGTAACATATGAATCATAGCTTGCGCATAATTTTTTTATTTGCAAAATTTCTAGTAGCATTATACTTTTAATACAATTTTCGAAAGAGTTATAATTCAATTCGACCAATTCTAGGATATAATATTAGTAGCAAACGAAACAATACACAATACGTTGTTAGAATATAATAAATAAAAAAGAAAATGAATTTCACTACTACACCTAAATTCATAACATGATATTGACTGATTGCAATAATTTGAAAAGAAACAAACCATGTTAGAATTCCGTGAAGAACGGATTGAGGCAATAGCGAAAGCAGTGCACAATAATCATTCATTAACTTGTTTCCAAGAAATGAAATTGAAGGATCTCAAGAAAGCATAATCAGGAAAAGTCTTGCAATTACGCCATTTTCCAAAATTACCATTCAAAGGAAATCAGCAACATTAATTTTTATTCTTATAATTGTTCTATCTTATTTTAACAAGCTTCCCTTTTCCTGGAACATGCGTAATATTTTAAAAGTTAATTGTAAAAGTGTCTTAGGGGTTTAGAAACAATTAATGAAGTCTTAGTAATGTTTTTAATTGCGAAACGTGTGCATTTTATTATGTATCGGTAAACTTACGGTAGTAAATGAAATTTTAGTTAATGAAATAAATTCTCTAGATTTAGAAACGACATCTTTCCGCTTCTCTTTTGAAATTCTGCATTGATGTATGGTAGAAAAACCAAGCTTTTCAACTAATATTTTGTTTTAACTCATTTGTTGTTTTTAACAACTATTACGGAATTTCCTAAGGAAAAAATTATTTTACCTAGTGTTGGAAAAGATTCTGTATTAACATACTGAATGCTATAGGGGTCACCGGTGACCGGCACTGAGTTTGTTCGTAGCGCCACGGGGGTCACCGGTGAAACCAAGATTATTAGAAACACATAATTCGAGTAAATTTTTAATATTTTTATATTAATATCGTTACTAAAATGGTTTAAAGAAAGTAATGCAATATAGAACACACAAAAATGGTTTTATTTATATATACAGAGATGCCACCTTGCTCCGGACAACGAATACATATTTTCAAGTGGTAGTTATTAATTGTGATTCTTGGTTTGATAAATTCAATTTAGTAGATTTTTATCCATCACTATTTCTAAACAATTCGTAGGCTTATGTAATTCACCACTCTTTACAGATATTTCATGTTAAACCTTTTAAAAAAACTAGCAAAATCTGTCTAATATTTGCAAATTTAGTTTGTAGTTATTTACCGTTTGGCCAGACGGGCAAGCCATGTAAAATTTGCGTGGCATTCAGCGTGTTAAATTTAACTAAATTATGATTAAAAGAATTTTATCCACCACTACATAAAAATAATTTAAATAGATATATTAAAGATCGAAATATCACAAAATTCAAGTTAAAGATGAATGGGAAAAGGGTCCTTAGGTGCCCAGATATTTAATACAGTTCAGTTCAGTATTACTATTATATATAAATTCCGTCAAAGTTTCTAATTGTGTTAAGCATTTTTACTGTACGAAATTTGCGTTCTTCTGCACGTTTCTTGTTTTAGTAAATTTGATTTAAAAGTTATTTATACACAGCACTACCTATAAAAAATTCGTAAGTCTTAAAATACCACTTTATTGTAATTATTTTGTACTGAACCGTATAAAGTACTGGCTAAATTATCAAAAATTCTGCAATTTTTATCATTTTATTCTCAATGATTTTATAAAATCTTTTGCAAAAAGCGCAGCATTTGGTTTTTCTGAATATAGAGAAGCTGTGACTTGTTGTTTAATTGAAAGGCTCATTAAAAAATAAGGAAACAATTTTTAAACAGAAATATAAAGAATAGAAAGGTAACAAATTTAAAACGAAATAAAAGTGAATAAAAAAAGAAAATTTTTTTAAACGAAATATAAAGAATAAAGAAAAAAAACTTAAACGAAATATAAAATTTTTAAAATGAAATTGAATAAAAACGAAAATTTTTTTTAAACGGAAATATAATCAATTAAAAGGCATCACATTTAAAAGAAAATAAAGGGAATAAAAAAGGAACATTTCTTTAAACAAAATACAAAGAATAAAGAAAAATTTTGTTTAACAAAAAGTTATAAATAAAGAAAATTAGTATTTTAAAGCGAAATACAATGATATAAAAAGGAACATTTTTAAAACGAAATATAATAAATAAAAAGAAAAGTTTTTTTTTAACGAAATATAAAGAAGGATTTTCTTGGAATCCTAAATAAAATAAATTAACAGTTGAGTAAAACAAATCCACTTCGAAAGATTTTATTTTGGAATACTATTTTTTATACAAGTTTTTTTGTATTGTTTTATAACTTTTTATAAATATTCCACTGAGTAGTGGGAGGACGAAGAATTACGCAATTTTGGATAAGTACCGGATAATGGTGCTTGGGTCGTTACAATCAGGCGTGAGGAATCCTCCCGTCCTTAAGCACTCTTCGGCACATCTCTGCCCAAGAAAATATTCACCGAACATCTTCTTGCACTGACCACAATTTCTGCACATAAATAAAACATTTAAATAAAAAATAACTGACGTTAAATATATATATATTTACAGTTTTTAATGTTTGATTCCAATTATCAACTTAATAAAACTAAGAATTCTGATAAAACACAGAAAAAAAATTTGCTAGTTTAAAGTTTATCATCAGTCTACAAATTAGAAAGAAAAGAAAAACTTAAGCTTAACCCAAAAAACATTTTATTTCTCATTTTATACACCAGATGGAAGTACCAGGATATTTTTAAGGTAATTGTAGATAGTTAGTTTATTTTAAACTAGATGTCAGCACTAATCAAATGCGTGTATTTGGTAAAATATGCACTTTTATGACCGTTTTCTTGAAAATCTTTTCTTTTATGACATCTTTTATGAATTTTTTCTTTTATGATTGGGGGTGCCATCCCTTCCGCAGAGGATCAAAATTGTGATGGCATGTCTTCGGATCGACCGTCGCCAATAGCCCATTGCGCAGCTCTAGTGCGACGTAAAGTAACAACAACATCTTTTATAACAGTTTTGTTAAAATATAACTATAAAATCAAGTTTATGAAATAACTTTAAAACATTTTTTTTAATTATTTTGCTTTGAGCATGATTTAAGTATTGGTTGACTTGCACTAAAATAAAATTAATTGAAGGGCTTATCCTGAAGTTCGAAAAAAAGGTGATTGATAATATTATGATGGAATATAGAGTTCAGTTTCTCACTAACTATTAGTTTTAAAATGTCATGTTATAGTAGAATTTTCAATTTAAATTAAATATTAATTATTGTTGAAAATTTCTAAATAATCACAAATTTTTTTAATCTTTTAACCCATAACTAGCATGGAAACGAAGAATTACTTCAAGGATGATAACTATCTGAGGAGACAGTTTCTGTATGGTTTGTCTGTCACTGATACAATCGATATAAAAGGGACGCGACTATGAAAAATTTCAAAATCATATTTATTTATATAGAAAAAAATTATCCTATTAAATCTAAGAGTCATTTTTAGAGCAGGATAAACTGCAAAAATAAACTTTACAATATCGAAAAATGGTGTGCAGATGAACATAGAATCCTGGGGTTATTTTCGATACCACTTTTGAGACCAAGTTCACGTTAATAGGGTAGTTATGATAGAAAAGTCAAATTCAAATTATGGTTTTAGGGAAAGAACTGAGTTTATAATTTTTTAAATTCAGTTGCTCCATTTAAACATCTAGTTATATATCCTTCAATTAACAAATGTTTTCAGCTGGTTAATCAGTTAAAATCTATTGTTTCTTTCATTTATTTTTTACATTTCTCTAGAATTTGGCCACTCTGTATTAGAGAATTTAAATAAATATTTTCAAATACTTCAGTTACATGGCTGCACACTTGTATTCTTGTGTTTACATTAAACAAGACATTCATTATCTATTTTTGGTTTTATAAACTTGATTAAAAAATATTTTTCCGCCATTCCTTAGAAATAAATTAATTATGTAAAAAAGGTCACGTAAAACGCAAGTACACTCTTAATCTTAATTTTGTAGAAAGACAAAAGAAACATGGAAAATAAAATTACTCATTGCATTATAAAAATGCTTTCAAAGAGATACTTTTCGAAAGAACTTAAATAAAAAAATAAAATAAAAATAATATATTAATAAAAAATAGTAAATAAATAAAAAATTCAAAGATACAGCCGTGCATGATAATTGTCTCCCTTTACTAACATTTGTCATAAGACTCAGGTAACCTAATTCGAAAAAAAAATTCTTTCTTCATTTCCAGACTATTTATTTTTCGACATTTTATTATTTTCTTACAGACACTAACTTTAAAGTTACATATTTTAAAAAATATATCACTATATGAAATAATATGTATTTAAATGCTTTCATCTCTGCTTGTTTATTAATTTTTAGCTTTGATTAACATTGGCAATTTGTTTCTAAAAATTACCAATTTGTTTTTAAAATTAAATAAATATGTGGCGTTTAAACTGCAAAACAAAGAAATTTTTCATCAATGCTGAGTTATAAGCGATAAGTTAAATGAATGCCGTAAGTCTATATCTAAAATAGGAATTCCTTTTAAATGAAAAGTTAAATTAGAAAGTTAAGATTAATGATTTCTGCTAATGTCTAAATATTAATCACACCATCTGGAGAAATTTGTTATTCTCCTATTATTCATAAAAGGAACATTTCAATGGACAGTAGTAAATTAATATGTTTTACATTTAACAAGAGATTGGAAATTAAATGTCAGAACACAATAACGAATAGAACTTAATTAGTGTCTATAAGTGAAAAATCGTAGCCATAAAGAAAACTAAACAAGATATCAGTTGGACAAAGAAATGATTTTGATAATGCTTTGAGAAACGCATAAAACTAAATGATGAGTTTGTATTAACTTAAACGATATTATAGAATTAGGCGTAGAAAAATTAATCGACGGTTGTAAAAATAAAGCCATAGTTGTTACAAATGATTGAAGATAAATATCAATTATTGAAATATTTAAAATTTATGGTCGAGTTTTTGCACACAGCTTCTTAAACGTTTTCTTTATTGTGATATTTGCCAGTGCAAACATTCGATGTGACAGTAATATCATTTTATAGATATAAATATCGATAGAGATTTCGTTCCGTAATTTAGAACTTCACTACTGCTAACTTTCCAGAAAAAAATATTGTTACAAACTTCTCAGGTTCAAATAAAAAAGTTTGTTAGACAGCGTGATAAATTTTCTATTGATAGAATCAATAATATAAAAAGGAAATCCTCATTCAACAGCGATGTAAACTATAGCTTTAAGGTATTTTAATTTAATTTTGTAAACATTTGTTTAAGTTTTAAGTTTTTTAGTTTAATTTTTTTTTCTTTTTTCGTACCTTTTTATACCAGCACTCGATTTAACCCTTTAACGGGACTCGATTTAACCATTTATTTCTAGTAAAGGTAAATTAAAGTATTTTTGGAATTAAAATTGATAAAAGAAAAAAAACTAATTTAGCTCATAAAAAATTAATCTGAATTTTAATGCCATTTTTTTTGGAGGTAAGTATATTTACCACGACCTATTAGCAACTTATTGACTTTTATTTTTCGTTATTTATAAAATAAATTTTATAAATGCTACAAACTTCAAAAGGAATTATGTATTTTATAACTTTTATACGTTTTCTTAAAGTAACAAATGGCTACCAAATTTATTCAAACGCACTTTAAGAAAGCTGAAGTTATTAACCAATAGAAACCTAAATTAAAAGTGGTAAAGAAGTTTTAATTTAAATAGTTTCAAGTCTATGTAATTTAAAAGTTTACCACTTTTAAGTTACATGGACTTTAAAAAGTAGTGGTAAGTATACTTACCACGGCCTTAGAAAGGGTTAACTGATATCAATATGTTATTCCTTCCAAAAATACAAAGTTATCAAAAAACAATTATAATTTTATACTTTTCCGATCAAAACATCATTTTTGTAATAATTAATTAATTTTATTAATTAATTAATGATTTTGTTAAATAATTCCTTAATTTTATACAATTATCAAGGATTAGGGAAACAATTAAACTTACGCAATTAGAACTAAAATTTCAGTTCAAAAAAATTAAAAATTAAAATATTTAATATAATACTGTTTTCATTCATGTTCAGCTAAATAGATTTGATGAAAAAATTTACAATAAGCATTTTTAATCAGTTCTGTAAATGTAGCAAGCTACGATATTTAATTATGAATATTCAATTAATGAGGTGATAATAAAAAAATACATTTTCTCTTTCCCTCAATTATATATTTTGTTTGAGCAACAGATTTTCTCAAATGCCCAATCAGCGTATATAAAAGAAACGAATCACGAAATTTAGGATTGTTAAGTTTAGATGAAAGTAAAGAAAAGTAAGTCAACAGACGGTAATGAGAAAATTTCTTTGCAAAGGCTTCATTTTGTAAGAAGAAATGGAAAAATATTTATATTAATATTTATATTATTATTTAAAATGTAAGTTATAGAAAGAATAAGTTCAGGTGAACCTAATGTACCAAGATGCCAACTTGCTCCACTTTATAATAATAATAATAAAAAAAATTCCAATGGTATCGAAATTTAAGTTATTTTTAATTCAATAATTGTTATTTTAAGTAATTTTCCACTACTACATATCAAAAATTCAAAGTATCATACAAAATGCAACTTTATTGTAACTATTTCATGGTAACACTATTAAAAAGTAAACGTAATTATTAAGGCCCGGATTTTGATGACATTTGCATTTTTTTGCATTTTTTGCATTTTTGGACATTTTTCGTCTTTTAGAGCATTTTTTTAGATTTATAGGGCATTTTTCTTTAAATTTTGGGGCATATTTTGCATTTTAATGCATTTTTTAAAGTTTTTTGTTAATTTTTTCCAATTTTTATTATTTTTTATCAATTTTCATTGTTACACTGGCTTCCAAACAATGAAGAAAATCTATAGGATATTAACAAGTGAAGCCAAATCTTTTCAAATTGAAGAAGAATTGTCAGTAAGTGAGACCGTCTTTTTCAAGTACGCACCTATGACATCAGTAGACGTTGAAAGAAGCTTCTGCAGGAATGAAAATTTACTTTTAGGCAAGAGACGCTCGTTTACATTTCAAATTATCAAAAAACATTTAATAATCCAATGTAATTCTGATATTTAGTAATATTATGAGATGGAATTTGTTATATCCATTAAAGTTTCTATACGAAATAAAAATATTTTGGTGTCAATATATTTTCCTTTTTTTTGTTATTTTAGGATATAAAACATATTTTTTAAACTTTAATGAGCGTAGAACAAGTATTGCATTGCTTTATATTTTTTAAAGGAGTCATAATAATTTTAAAGAGCAAAACATTTTTTTTAATTCAATATTTTTGCAATTATTTAAATTTTTTGCGCAATTTTTGCATCTTTAAGGGCATTTTTTGCCCTTTTTAAGGTAATTTTTTGCACTTTTTAAGGTCATTTTTTGCACTTTTTAAGGGCACTTTTTGCACTTTTTAAGGGCATTAGTTGAGAATTTTTAGGTCATCAAAATCCGGGCTCTAGTAATTATCCTTAATTTACAAGTTTTACGATTTAATTCGCTACCAATTTATAAAAAAATTCGCAGAATGCGGAGCAGTTGGCATTCCTGTAAGTAAACCATGAAGTTTCAAATACTGAAAAAAAATTATCAATGTATAAAAATGAAAACAAGCAAATAACGGATAACTTGGGATTACGTAATGGGGAAATCCTCTTCCAATAATATATTAACATTTAGATATTTTGCCCTTTTTTTCAGCAATTGGAACTTTATGGTTTACTCTAGATTTGCCTAGGTTTCTATACATTTAATTTTAAATTAGTTATGGAAACAGAATTTGTGATGATAAGTTTTTCCCGCGGTCTAGTGTCCTTTTAAAGGAGGAAATCATTGTAAAATGCTCAAGAAATAGACCTCTAATTTCGACGACTTATTTCTATTATATTATCTTAAACGAATTAAATTTTTTCCTTATTTTTCAATATTTTTTAACTATAAAAATCCACATATTTTGATTGATCTCAAAATAATGTTTAGATAAATCAATTTCTCGACTTCAGGCAGCTGATTTTTTTCTCTTCCGTATTCAAAACTAAAGTAAAACCTCATGAACCTTTTGAAGAAAAAAAAATACTTTTAACTTAAATACTTACTTATTAAATATTTAGAATTTATATTTGATCTGAAAATTCATTTATAATCTTTTTAACTAAAGTGTTTGCCTCTTTAGGAATTATCAATTTAGTTAAAACGCTACCACTTTTTACCTCACTACAAGAAGCAGGGCTAAAAGATAAAATAAACCAAGACGGAAAAGCTCAAAAACCGATCAAAAAATCATTTACAATTACAGCCTATTTTTGAAAAGATTAAAACAAACATGAAACCCAAGATTTTTTTTTTAAACAGTTATAGCACATATATTAGAAAGATAAAGTAAATAGTGATGAATACTTTATAATAAAAATGGTAAATATTTATTTTAGTCATCAATGGAATTGCTTTGCTTTTTCTTTTGCCATTGGCATGACAGCCCTTTGTGGGACAGAGCCTTCCCTGGAACCTTCCTCCATTCTGCCCTTTTCTTTTTCGCAACTACCACTAAAACTAATTTCAAATTATTCAGATTCAAAACAAAAACATTCATTGCATTTACTTTCAATAGGAAACTGGGAAAAAAATATGCTAGAAAAAGTAGCTATCTTTAATCGCTTTTTTAAAAAAAAAACTTGAATTTTTTCAGTAATTAAGTTTTACATTTTTAATTGCCAGTAGCAACCCTGTATCTAAGCATAAATGCAACATCACATATTGTAATTTTTACATCATTACAAAATGTTGCGTTTTCGCATATTAGATATTGGAAAAAGAAGATCCAGAGATCTGGATGTACTCTTTAGAATATTACGATATATTTAGTTATTAATTTAATAATTGTTAAAATGAAGTATGTAACTTGATTTACTTAGTAATTAATTTAACAATTATTAAAACAAAGAATGTAACTTGATTTGCTTAGTAAAATTAATTTAATAATTATTAAAATAAAGAATGTAACTTAATTTACTTAGTAATTAATTTAATAATTATTAAAATAAAGAATGCAACTTGATTTATTTAGTTATTAATTAAATAATTATTAAAATAAATAATGTAACTTGATTTACTTAGTAAAATTAATTTAATAATTATTAAAATAAAGAATGTAACTTGATTTACTTAGTAATTAATTTAATAATTATTAAAATAAAGAATGCAACTTGATTTATTTAGTAATTAATTTAATAATTATTAAAATAAAGAATGTAACTTGATTTACTTAGTAATTAATTTAATAATTATTAAAATAAAGAATGTAACTTGATTTACTTAGTAATTAATTTAATAATTATTAAAATAAAGAATGTAACTTGATTTACTTAGTAATTAATTTAATAATTATTAAAATAAAGAATGTAACTTGATTTACTTAGTAATTAATTTAGTAGTTATTAAAATAAAGAATGTAACTTACATAATACATGTTCTCACTGAAACTGAAAGGACGCAGTCTGATGCCGAGAAGAGCAAGAGTAAGGCTATGAGGAGACAACACGTCTTCATGTTCGTTACTTTATTGGGCGGTTCCTTCATTAAATAAACATTCATTAAACAATAGTATAAAATGTGTAAAAGCTGCTCATATGAGTAGATTTTCAACCTTGTCATTTCATTTATAGGTGATAGTCCCAGAAAGCATATAACCTTACTGCGTCTTAATTTTCTTTTTATGGTCACAAAAGTGTTTGTGCTAAAAATCTTTTTTTCGACAAAGCATAAATATTGCAGTTTCAAACCTTTCATCCTAAAAGGATTAAAAAATTTTTTTAAAAAAGTATTGTCACTTAGATCCATAATGACGTTTTAAATGACGTCACACTAGCCACAGGATCAAATTGCATTGTTCATTAAAATTTCGGGACAAGGTTTGCTGAGCATACAAGACTTTGCGAAAAGAAACCTTATCATTACCTAGATTTAAGATTATTTTCATCTTGAGACTAGCTTTATTCAAGGATTTTTTCCACGCTTGAAAGCCCAAAGACAACCTCGATTTCAGGTTTTTATATAGAAGGTTGTTTTCCAAGGTTGTTTATATAGAAGGTTGTTTTCCAAGGTTGTTTATATAGAAGGTTGTTTTCCAAGGTTTTGGATTAGGGTAGAATAGAGCAGATTGTGACAGATCTCGTTTTAAGGTTTACACGTAAACCGCGTAACAAGCCTTTTTATGTTTACATTAAAAGGTTTTTGAGTTAAAATAAACCTTATTTTGCTTTCTGGGAGTGGTGTTAACTCTTTGACGGTTATGAACGAGTTCATCTCGCAATCGAATCGTGCCTCATAATGCGCGCAAACGAGTTCCGCTCGGGAGCAAGATTTTGACCGTAATGGTTAGTAACGAGCACTACTCGCGTAGTGAAATTTTTCCCCAATGCGCGCTGGCGAGCTGAGCTCGTTCGCCATCATTATTCTGCATTGACTATGTTAAAAACGAAAAGTACGTAAAAACTGTTATTTATGTACTACGAATACTTAAAGAAATTTTTTAAAAAAACGCGTGAGGCGAGCTATCTACCGCATCCAGAGATGCCAACTTGCTCCGCTTTGTAAAATAGTATTTCCTAGTGATAGCGAAAGTCAAGTTGCTTTCAGCTTAGTATTTTTCCTTTTAAGTAATTTTTTCACCACTAAATATCAAAAACTATAAGTAACATATAAAATGCAGCGTTATAGCAACAATCTGCTGGTTACTGTATTAAAAAGTAGGCGTAACTGTCCTTCTCCAACGAAATTTACTACATAATTTGCTACCACCTTATTATAACAATTACAGAAGACGGAGCAGTTGGCATCACTAGCGAAGGGTGACATTTTCGGAAGAACGGAGGTGGAAAACAGATGCCACTTTCGACTACTGTTTGCGTATAATACTGCGCGAATTAATGAAACGAAAACTGCTCATTTCCCTGACCGTCAAAAGGTTAACACATTGCATGCTGGCATTTTTCCAAAGTATATATATTACAGCTGTAATAGATTAAAATTTGAAAAGAAAGTGATCGGCAAGATTTCATAGCAGTTGGAATAAATTTGTCACTATAACTACAACTTCAATTTTAAAAAAAATATTCATGGCGAATAATTGTAGTACTGATTACGTATACACTGAATTATTTATGTTTGTGGTAATCACGAAAGGAGAATTTCTTTGGAAAACAGAGCGGAAGCGAAGTAGTTTTGCTACTACTTTTTAAATTTTACTATGGATTGCACAAATTTCAAAAACGTATTTTTGTAAGACCCGCTTGCAATATGTTTACTGTGTATATATCATACATACAGGGATGCCAACTGCCCCGCTTTCTACAAAAGTTTAAATAAATTGGCAGCGAATTAAATTGTGAATCATCTTAGCATAATGATAATTACTCCCACTCTTTAAAAGTGCCACATCGAGAGTACTGCATACATTAATGTAATTATATTTTGAAAGGTATCTAAATTGTGGCACGTACCTCGTCAGCGAAAAATATTTGCCAATAGGCAACGGAGATATCATATTGAGATATACAGAGATTACTGCACTCATACTTATATGTCGTAGTTATCTTAGCATCAGCCCCGCGAGGGGCTCTGACTAATTCATCTGAGAGGGAATGTATGATAAATTGCCGAAGCGCAATTAAATGGAAGGTTAGGGTTCAGTAACATTTACTGAGTGAAAATTAAAATAAAATAGCGAGATTTAAACAAACAAATTTGAGAGAGAAGAGGTTTATGTGGCAGACTGCCTCGCCTACCCCAGAGCTTCGCAGGTGCACAGTAGCCACATAGACTCAGAGAAATAGGAAAAATAGAGATTACTGCAATAAAATTGCATTTGATTTGATATTTAAAAGCTATGATAAGATGAAAAATACTAAATTAAAAATAACTTAAATTTTATTACCACTAGAAAATATTTTTTTAACAGAGAAGTAAGTACATATATGTATAAATTCTTTATTTATGTCACGCAGTCAGTAATACTATATTTCTCCGGATAAACAATTTTAAGTGGTAGTCTTTTAATGTGTGATTCTTAGTTTAGTAATTCGATTTATAGGGTTTTTTCGCACCATTACTTCTTAATAATTCATTGGCCTATGTGATGCGCCACTTTGTTATACTGACGCTGTATTGAGCTGTGTAAAATGTTGGCAAAAATAACCGAAAATCTGTAAATTTCAGTCTGTTGTTATGCAAATTACAGCACAATTACAGTATAAATGCGAATCTGAATAACATAGAGAAGCAAAAATATATACACTGAAGAGCCAAAAAAAACTGGTATGCCTGTCTAATATCGTGTAGGGTACCCGCGAGCACGCAGAAGTGCCGCAACACGACGTGGCATGGATTTGATCAATGTGTGAAGTAGTGCTGAAGACAATTGACACCATGAATCCTGCAGGGCTGTCCATAAGTGGGAGTAAGAGGGGGCGGGGATATCTTCTGAACATCACGTTGGAAGGCATCCCAAATATATTCAATAAAGTTCATGTCTGGGGATTTTGGTGGCCAGCGGCACTCTTCTGAATTTAGACACTTCCGCTGGCCACCAAAATCCCCAGACATGAACTTTATTGAATATATTTGGGATGCCTTCCAACGTGATGTTCAGAAGATATCCCCGCCCCCTCTTACTCCCACTTATGGACAGCCCTGCAGGATTCATGGTGTCAATTATCTTCAGCACTACTTCACACATTGATCGAATCCATACCACGTCGTGTTGCGGCACTTCTGCGTGCTCGCGGGTACCCTACACGATATTAGGCAGGCATACCAGTTTTTTTGGCTCTTCAGTGTACGTTCTCACATGAGGCTGATATGTACGAAAAGGTTAATGCAGAGTACAGTTTGGCTAGATTTTAACATACTATTTCCAAAACTACTGCCCTGGGAAATCGGCAATATTTAAAGTGATAGTGAAATAACAGAAAATGTTTTTAAAATTTTGCCAGCTCTTATAAACATCAAAACATAGATAAGACGTAGAGCTGCCAACCTGGAAGTTCTAGCACTCGATGTTATTTAAAGTGGTAATTAAATAATTATGCAAGAAAAGTTCCTTAAAATTTCGCCATCATCTAAAAATATACTGTTTGCTTTTAAGACATCGTGTATACCTTTAAATTATTCATAAATTCTTAAATATTTCTAAATCAAATGTTATAACAGAAATTCTGCTAACCAATTTAAATACTTGAAAAAAATCTCTGACTAAAAGCTGAAGAAGATTGCATGTCTGTGGAGAATATTGTACCCCCCCCCCAAAAAAAAGCCCCACACTGGATAACTTTTGATTTAACAACCGGATCTACATGTTCCAAAACTCAATCTTAATGGTTCAAGGGGTTGACCTCAAATATGAAAATTAATAAGACCAGACAATATTTTAAGTCACGAAATCAGACACAAAAACGTACTTTATCTAAATAAATATACCTTTTTTATAAATGGATTTGGATCTCTAACCCTCAAAACCAGGGTTGGCTTTTTGCCGGCAGAAATTGGTTTTTGCCATGCCAGTGGCAGAAACTGGTTATAACCGGTAAAAACTGACAGAAACTAAAAAAATGTCTAGATTAGTTCTAGTAATTGCTTAATGACATTTTGTTTAAGTAAACTGAGAAATGTGACTCCATGTAACTGTAACAAACTTTTTAATTCATTGTTTGTAAATATATATTATTTTGTAATTACATATTATTTCAGTTTTAAAAAATATGCAATCGATGAAAGTTTCACAAATCTTGCTTGTTCCTTGATGGCAATGCCTGCTAGTTCTGCTGGACTTGAGAGAATCTTTTCAAATTTGAGAAGATTCTCTCGATGCACAAAGATTCCCTTATGCACGAATGAGACTTGAGAGAATCTTCTCAAATTTCTCGTTCGTGCATAGCAAATTGAGAAATTGTTTAGGTTCAGAAACTGCATCAAAACTTGTCTTTTGTTATAGTGCAAACAATGTAATATTTGATTTTGAATGGTGATAATTTTGTAAATAAATTCTACTTTGTTTAACATTTAATTGTTTTTTCGATGAATTATCCATTGTATGTCAATCTCAGTACTTACTTCTATGTCATTTTCCGAATTTCTGCCACAAATGTGGCAGAAACTTGCCAACCTTGCTCAAAACATAGGGGGTTGCGCAATCTGGGAAATATGGTCCCAAGATTGTGGCCAGGAGAGCGGTTCAAAGCTTGGACTCCTTAATTTTAATGTTACTTTTCTCGCATTTCGCCATAAAGAACTTTTTAAACAAATTCAAAAATTTTTGCACGTGATGAAATTGTTTTACCCAAAGATAGTTTCATGAGTTCAAAGGCAGTTTAACTTTCGGTAAATATTTATTATTTTATTTAACGACAGCCGAAAAAAAATTTGAACTTTAAGGTATGCAATTTTTTACATAGTTTCAAAGAAGGTAATTTTACATAAAAAAATAGAAAGTTTGCGCATATCGGTCAAATAGTTCCTGAGAAATCGAATTTTAAATATATATATATAGACATACATATAGTTTTAAACTTTGAATTCTCAGCAATTAATTATTCGACTGATTTCGCTCAAACTTGTCCTGTAAAATAACATTCTTTAAAATGATGTAAAAAATTTCATACCTTACAATCGTGTTTCGTAAATTCCAAATAATGTTCTTTACTTAACTAGAATTTTTAAAAATAAAATTTTTTTAAAAAACGTCTAAAAAAAAGACGCAAAATCTCGTAAAATGTTCTTAACTTCCAAAAACTTAAGTTGCTTGGCCATTTACTGTATAGGAATTTATTCAATATTTTATTTAATTAAAATTGTAAACATTTTTTAATGCAAAATAGAAACTTTTCAACAAATTTCTTTGTGTTTACTTTTTGTGCTAATTTTTCTGTAATTAAAGGTTGTGCTACAGATAAACTCGGAAAATTCCCCTACCGGGCATATAAAAGTCTGGTAGTTACAATATTTTGTTTAGATTTCACTCATTAATATATCTTAAAATATTACCTGATGAAAAACTTTATTTGCTTCAAAAATATAGGAAATAACAATCGACATATTTCTAGCGCTTAAACAAGGTGCGTATTTTCAAGACTTGCCAGGGGTGAATGAGAAGAAACAAAAAGTGATTTGAAATATGAAACGTAAATATTTTATTTCTACCCCGTGTAGGGAAGAATTAAAGAAAATTATAAAACTGATTTAGACTATCAGTTTCAATACTTAAACTTATTGAATGCAGACAACTTATGGCACAATATTTCAAAAAATAAAACTCAGCCATTATAGATAAAGTTGCTTTTAAAGATAAAGAAGAAACAAGTCACTTTTGTTTCTTCTCATTCATGCCCGACAAGTCTTGAAATTGAACGCCTATTTTAGAGAGCTTGAAACAGGGGGATTGTTATTTCCCATTTATATATTTTTTAGGCAAATAAAGTTTTCAATTGGGTAATATCTTACCGGCCTAGTCTCTTGGGATTATTTATTTAATATCCAAAGATTATAATCCGGAAGAAAGAAAAAGTTGATTCTAAAAATATTTTATTTCTAGTCCGTGTTGGGAGGAACTAATTTTTTGAGTATCAATTTCAATATTTTAACTTATTGAATGCAGACAACGTATGCAATAATATTTCAAAAAATATAGTTCGGCATTTACAGCTTAAAATTTAATGGAATGGTGGGCAAAATTTCAACAAAGCCAAGATGTAGCTATTTATAGTCCAGCTTAAATTAAAATGTTTTTCGACGATTCATACTGAATCTTCTTATTAAATTATATTTGTGATGATAACAAATGAGTACTTTCTTTGAGAAAAAAAGAGTTAGTTTTAATAGCACCATTAAAATCTAATAACCATACTACGATTCTAATTTATACTATGATTACAAAAAGCAACCATGTAAATTTTCATTTCACAGAGACGACAACTTACGATGTATTGAATTTTAAAACCGTCGTTGAACAGCCGACCCAATAATGTTCAACTCCCCAGCCTTGTAGTTTTGAACCCAATCCAGAAGACAAGCGAACTCCTGGATCAAGTATTGGGGGGGGGGGGTTGCCTTCGTGGAGGTCTTTTTGATGGCACTAACTCGCATTTGCATTACCTGGGGAGAAAAACCACGAAAATTCCCCATTATTATCCTAACGGCAAGGGGACTCCAACCTATGATCCGTCTACCACTGAGAATATTTTATTTTAAGTCAGCACTGTGGTCGGGGCAACACGGATGCGGTATTCGTATCGACCAGCCATTGCTGGGATTCGAACCCGCTTCACATCAATGGAAGGCGAAAAAAATTTTAAAACGTCACCCAGTTTCAGTAAGTTGGGGTTCCTTTTAATTATTTTTAGATTTAGCTAAAATTCTGAAAAATATCTTGTCTTATTTCCTACCAATTTATTAAGTCCTTTGCGTTAAGCGGAACAGGTGGCATTCTTATTCCAAAACACTAGAATTCTAATTACCCGATGTATTTAACTACTTAATGTTTCAGTTCAGTTTTCACTTGTTAGTTATTAAATCTGCTAAAAATTTAAAGTTCTAAATTCTGTCTACAATTATTTCCATATCTGTTGCAATATTTTTGAGTGTTCCTAACAATAAGTACATGCGAATTAAAATTTAATCTTATATTATCAATTATAACTTCAATTTATCGATTAAAAAATTAAAATATCTTTAAATATACTTAAGCATTTTAATTTTAAATATTTTTACAATATAATTTAAATTTTTTAATTTCCGGAAAAAGACAGAGAATAAAAAATACATTAACTCACCAGTGTTTTTATTTCTAAAAAAAAAAGTGTCTCTTTAACATAAAATGTCGGTGTTATAAGTTCAGCTCAACTAAAACTATTCAGATTTGAAGTTTTGTTTTATAGGAGAATCGGCGAAAATTTAAGAAGTCGCGCGCAGGTCGAGGATATTTGAAGAACCAACGAGCTTCATTCGATTCATCAATTAATAAGTCATTCATAAAGCGTGTCACATTGCTTATTCATTCTGAAAAGCTTAAATATATTGAAAAGTTGTACACTACTAAATTAACGTAAATTAGTAACTGAATATTTAAAAAAATATATATACAGAACTAATTTGTGTTTAATTGTTAATATTTGCGAAATATTTAAGTTTTTGTTTCCATCTCATTTGAACTTACATATTTAAGTTAAACTTTAAAAACAAGATTTTACGGATAAATTACCATAACTCCAAAACTTTTGCGAGATATTTTTTCCAGTGGTAGTGAAGAGCAAAAATAAAATAAAAAAATATTATTTTTTATAGAACTTTTTTTTTCTTAAAATATAAAGATTTGTTTGTTTGATCTTCAGTACATTTGTTTAAATTACTTAAATGCAGTGGCTGACAAAATTCTTTTAATTCTAATATATTAAAATATTATATTTGCTAACACTAAGAAACAACTTTTTAGTGGCCTGAAAAATACCGGGAAACCGAGACATTCGTTAATCCTTTGTACTAGAGATGAGTTTTGTCTCGCTTTTGGAGGCACGAGCTTGAGGGGCCGCTCAAAAAGTACGTACATCCCGAAGGGGAGGGGGGAGGTATTATACAAAGTACGTACATCAATACACCAAATTTAAGTTTGACTTTTTCCTACATATGTATTATAACAAGCTAAGTACGCGAGAAGCAGCCAATATCTACTGCAAATCGTTAAGTGTAACGATGAATCTTGTTGTCCTAAATTTCGGAGTTCAATTCTTAATCTTGTGCCTAACAGATTTTTATCAGCGCCTGTGCCCATAGCACAAACTGATGATGGACTTGATATTAATGAACCACGAGGAACTTTTCCATCATTATTTTTACCTCAAACGTTGGAGCCAATTGTAAAAGCTGCTGTTAATCAAAAAATAGGTTTGAATTCCATCACAGAAATACCATACGATGCAGCATGCCCATCAGTAGGTGATATTAAACGCAAAATTTGTCTTACTTGTGGTACATATTTTGCATCTTTAACTTGCTTGAAAGATCACAAGAGAATATTCAAATCAACAAAGTAAGACCAGTTCGTGTAGCAGCTCGTCGACAGATAGAACTTTTGGTCATCCTCCGAAACCAGGAAAACGAAGATGATGCATAGTAGATCGAAGATGATTTCGTTGATGAAGATAATCTAAATTTTTCATAAATTTTTTTACAGAACCAAACGCTTTCTTAAAAGTGGTAAAAAATCTATGAAAATTTTCTCAAAAAAAAGAGCCCGCCTGCTTTGTACTCTGATGGGAAATTTTAAGCCACCAAAGAACCACAGTATTTTATGATTATTAGTTATTAAAAATATTGCATGTGTTTTAAAAGAATTAGTGCTGACATTAGTTAAAATAGCATGAAGAATAACTAAGTCTGTAATATTTTAATTATAATCGAAAAAAAAAATTTTTTTTGGTAACTGATATTGTTTGGCTATACTTCGTTTAAATGTAAAAAGTTCTAATTTTGGAATTTTTTTTTTTTAAAAAGTAAACTTGGGCATAAAATAATTTTAAAAATTTATTTTCTTGAAATAAGAAATTCGGATTAACCACAATATATCACAGGGTGCATAGCCAAATTTTTCAACAAAAAATAAGCACCTTTTAAGCATTTAAAAAATATATTTAAGCACTTTAAACAAATATCATAATTAGGCAAGGTTGCAAGTTTTGATAATTGACGGTTTTAACCGTCATGTCAAGAAAAAACCTTTTGACTAACCTAAAAATCTTAGCATAAGGATAATTATTAGCTATTATAAATATGAAGTATTTTTTAGATTAACATACACGTAAAATCACAAGGGTTCTATCAATATAATATTCTTGAATTATTTTAACAAAAAACTCTTTCTGTTTCGAAAATTACTGTCGAAAACCCACATTTTGGTGTAGAAAATATTAAATATTTATAAATAAAAATGTGTCAAATTGCAATTTATCCAAGCCCTTAATTTGTTAAAACTGTTAAAAATAAAAATACAATTATCTTATTCTTTATAAGTAAAATCAGTTTTCATTTACTTCCATTTTAAATCCTCTTTTCCCGAAAGCTAGCAATTACAAAAAAATAGTTTTGAAGCCCTCTGTACTTCAAGTTCATTTTTCAATTTTATATGAATAAGACAGAAATATAAACTGCTCCTTCCATTGATGTTCAGCTAAATAGACTAAAATGTTGACCTAATATACTATTATAACATAATAAAATGACATGTAATTAGGAAATTTATTCTTATAACTGCACTAAATATTGAAAGCAACTTAATTCAAACCCTTGAATTTATTGATTTAAAAAAATTTTTGACTCATTTAAACAAACATTTATATTTTTTTGTAAATAAGGAAAGGAAAGGAAATATACATATAAGCAGGAGTGCAGATAATTCTGTCCTTAATAGCTCCTCAGAACCAAGTTTTTTTTATCCAAATTTTTCTTTTCTTTTAGTACAATTACTTTTCTAAAAAAATTTTTGGAAAGTGAAGTTTTTATAAGAAAAGAAATTTGACTTCACACAATTCTTGAAGGAAAGAGCATTTGTTAAAAATCAAAATAGTAATAAATTATTAAATTAAAGATCTCTCTCATAAACTTAAGGAATTCAATCTAACAAATTGATAACTAACGTTTTTTAGGAAGGAAAAATTTGCAAAGAGACACATTTTTTAACAATAAAAAATGCTAAAGGAATTTTTTTTGGAAGGAAAGAAATTTCTGAAATTCCCTCATAACCTTGTTCATATGATTAGACATATTCTGCTAACCTGCATATAAGTAGTACAGTACAGAACCCGTTATCTGGAAATCAGAAAACCGGAACGAAATTCGATAAATTTTCCCGCCATTTTTTAAACAAAAATTTTTTTTCCTCATAAGATTTTTCTTTTTTTTTTTAAATATGTTCACCTTACCATCATTTTGGAAATAATCATTAGTGTATTACTTCATCGTTTTTTCTTCTTTTTAAGATTATTTTCCCCCCCAAAATTTTTTTTAGTTGGGTTTAACAATAAAAAAACGGCTTTTTGTAGCGATTCAGAAAACCGGAAAAATCAGTTATCCGGAATAGTGATGGTCCCGATCGTTCCAGATAATCGGTTCCCTACTGTAATGACAAACATTAAGAATAAAAAAATTTATTTATAAGTTGGCGACTTTAGTTTTACTTACTCTAAAAAATCTGCTTAGTTGTGGCATAAAATAAATATTTAGATTGATAACAATTAACTCATAGTTATTAAGAGCACCATGTTTTCAGAAAAATCAATTAATAAGTTAATGAATTTCGCTACATTTTTTATAAATGATATATTAATAATTAAAATAGCATAAAATGCAGGTACTGTGCATAATTTAATGTCTAATAAAATGTTCCCAATGTTAATAAAGAAACTTGTACCACGCTTTTGACAGTTTCAAACAGATTTAGACAAATTGTGACAGGTTTTTGACATCAAAATACCAACCCTGCAATTAGGGAATGCACACTAATAAAAAAAAATTCCTCTTCCTACTGTTGAAAGTTCATAAATACATAATAATTTCCTAAGATTGATGATCATGATCATGAGAAAATATCTAGTTTCTGACAAAGAACTATTTTCTTGATTATATTAGGCACCATACAAACAATTTATACAAAATTTTCAAGATGTTCAATATTAAGTGGTTCAATCTATTTTTAAATTCATAATTACTTTATTTAATTACGTCAAAAAATAATTCCAAAATTATAATTCATTTAACTATTATTTAAAAAGGTTATAGACAGTAATTTTTATATATAAATAAAAGTTATTTGTTTACACAAATTTTAAGCAATCAATGGATGGTCCACCAAGGAAAAACATCATGTTTAAAAGTCTCAGGTAATTCTTAAATTTAACGAATAAAAGAAAGATGAAAATTTTGAGGTGATGAAACTTTGGGATTTTCGACTGCTATGGGGACCAAACATGAAAATACATAATTAGTGAATAACCCCCAAGACAAGTTCGAAGATTATGGTACTGATCTATAAATAGAATAACTGGAGAAGGCCATGAAGATGATGGCACGTCACGAAAGATGAAATTAGCAAGAGAAATAAAAATAATTATCGTTATTAAAGAAAAAAAAATCTTACAATGTTTATTTACAATGACAATTTAGTTAGACCCCGTAAGCAGCGAAGATTCGAGAGATTTTTCAGTTCGATTTAAAAGGGCGGAAATTAAGCCTGAAATGGAGAATCTCTTGCAAAATGTAGCAGAGGGGCACATGAGGGGACAAAAATTCTTCCCACTGAACCCAGCTCAGTATACGCACAGGCAGAACAAATGGCATTTCAATGTGAGACGGCTTGACTGAACGCCGAAATAGATTAGGGTTGAATTAATTGTGAGAATGTTGAATAGAATAATGTCTTTTCGCATAAATCGTGGTGAAAATCAACATAGTAAAGAAAAAATATCTCATTCTGGAAAATTAAGCACTGTTTAAAAACACCCAATGAAAAAAGCACCTTCAGAGGCTTTTAAAAATGCCATGCACAACGAAATATGTTAAATTTTTATTTAAAGTAATATTTGTGGGAATTTTAAGAACAACCAATGTCACTATTTTGTGAAAGGGTATTTAATTGATTAAAAGGTTCCCAACTTTTATTAACGAGTACCAAAACCACTTCCACCAATGTCAAACCAAAAGCGCGAAATAGTTCAGTATACGCACATGCGCATCGGCAAGTATTTCACCAAACATGTAAAACAATGGTGTTTCTATATGTTACGGGATCGACGATACATCAAAATAGATTGGGGTTGAATTAATTATAAAGACGTTAAATAGAACAATGACTGTTTGCATAATTCATAATGAAAATCAACATGGTTAAAAAAAATAATAATTTTGGAAATTAAGCACATTTTAAAAACACCTAAAGGGCTTTCAAAAAACAAAAATAAGCACCTTTAAGAATCTTTTAAAAACGCTACAGATCCTGTATTAATAGTAAAAATGCCTTCAGTCGCTTCTGAACCCATTAAATAAACAAAACCAAAAACGTAACAGCAGAGAAAGGATAATAAAAACCACAAGTCAAACATGTTTAAATTAAGGAACCCTTTCAGATAAACAATACCTAACATTTATGCTGATGACAACCAAAGAAATCTGGAGCTTAAGATAAGAAAACTGGATCATGAAATACAACTTTCCGTCTAATGTGCTGACAATGAAAATTGGTTTGATCCCATTATATTATAAAATTGGACAGACATTAATATACATGAATCAAGGCTGAAAATGTAAGAAGGTGAAAGAGAAAAATAGTTACAAAACAACTACATATCTAGCTTGTTTCAGGAAGGAGTAAAATATCCTTGATTATAAAGACCAACTTATTATAAGATATAAAACAAAATAATACCCAAACAACTGAAATGAAAAATTAACCTCTACAAGAAAGCTTATCAGAAATCTTTATCTTAAATTATTAAGGAAAAAAAAGAATAGATCCTGTATTTAATGCACTCATTAAATAAATTTTTTGTTATTAAATTGGTATAAAGATTTGATTTCATAACCCACCATTTCTAATTCCCCCACCCCAAATACATTTGCACAATGATGTTATATTTTTCTTGCAGAGATAACATAAATTCCTTCCAAGTAAAAGCCAGGGAGGTCAAATTATCATAAATACTATCATTCAGACTTCCTTAAGAAAACAAAACGTCTGTTACTTGTATCAATTCTTTGAAGTTATGCAACACAAATATTTTGAAATTAGAAAGCCTTATGTAAAGCAGCATGTTATTGAAATAAAAGGGAAAAAACAGATTGCACATCAGAACTTATTTTGTTTAACAGAGAGACACCCCAATAATTGAGGCTTTGTTGCATATTTAAAAAAAAAATTTAAACTATAAGCATTAGGGACAATTCAATAAACAAAAATTTATAACTCATCAAAATTTCCAATACAATGAATACGAAAATGAATGTCTTTTCTAATCACAGATAGATTTTACTTTGAATTTTCAATCTATTTAAGATAAATACTCTCCTGCAGATTATGATAGTGTGAGATTTTAATCATCTGAATAAAAATACATAATTTTTTTTCATCATACATCACTATGATAAAACTGCTTAATAAATTTAAACTTAACTAGGTTAACCGGGCGTCTTCAGTACAACAAACCAAAATTAAATAATAATGCTAAGCACCAGGCGCAGTCAGATTACATAAATTGAACTTTCAAAACATGTGCATACAGCATTAAAATGGCAAATAAAGATAACTGAAAATTAAAAATATATATATATTGTTTTATAATTGTGCCAAGATTAGGAAAAAATCCCCATTAAACTTGAACTAGGAAAACAAGCTTATAAGAACACAAAGGCTTTGGGTATGAGTAAAAGGAAAAATGTTTTATTCATATGAAAGCTGCGTAACTATACAAGAAAATACACATCAGTGCTGTTTTTAGAAAATACAATAGATTAAAAAAATAACTTTAACCATGTTGTTTCACGTTACAAAAATTTAAATAAAGAGAAATTTTGCACAGTCTAATAGCGATCCTTTAAGAGATTTGGCTAGTATTACCATCAAATCTAAAAATAAACAAAAAAGTAATTAAATTATCTCTTAAAAGAAATAATGTAAAAATATAACTCCATATCAATGCCAAGGTGTGAGGGCGAAGTTATTGAAGAACTCGCTACTTCCATTGGTAGCAATGAAGTAAAATATTAATAAATACATCTAGCATTTTGATAAACTCAGCAACTATTACTATTTTCAATGTATACAGAATATATTTTTACATCAACATAAGACTGCTAAAGAATCTTGTAAACAAATATAAAGACAGAAATGAAGTATAAACATTTACCTCAGCAAACAGAAATCATTAACAGATCAAGTTATGCCACTTTAATGCACAAAAACTAATAAAAGAGGCACAGATTCATTACAACACACACAAAATTAATATTTTTTAACATTTAACAGAAAATAACACGTATTATGCAAATCTTGGTAACTGTTATATTAAAATAAAATAAATTTTAAAACAACTGTGCAAGTAAACAAGTTGTTTAAATCAGTTGAATCTTTATACTTTACAAATACATAGTTTAATCTATACAGTTTATATTACACTATTATTCATCACACAGAATTATGTAAGTATTACTTTAATAATGGTAAAGTATTAAAACATACTTTATTATCAAGTTACATGAAAAATAATTGAAGGCATAGATAAATACACACAAAATAAATATATGAATGAAACAATTATAAAGCAGAACTTATGAATATCTAAAAAAAAAAATATGTACTATGCCTATACTAAAGAGATATTGAAATTGGGATAAATTTCTTATGAGGAACATAAAATGAAACAAATTGTACTAAGAAAAAGAGGTTAAATTCCACAACAACTCATAAATTCCGCTAAAATTTAAAGAAAAGGCCAAAAGCATCCCAGCAGATAGAATTATCAGAAGAATTTAAAAAATGCGAAGTATTTTTAAAATAATGCAATAAATCATGCACAATTACAAATTTTACCTAAATAGTTTAGCAATAAATAAGTTTGAAATTGTACAAAAATTTCCCATTTCCACTATATAATTAAAACAAAGCAATTAAGTACTAAATCACATTTTTTTAACATTAAATTCCACAGAAAGGTGTAAACATATTGCTATTGTATACAAAGCTTAGACTATTTGAGAAATTTCCCACAAGTTAAGAGTATTTAATGCAATGCGGAAATTACAAAGTTAGAAAAAAACCAAAATGACCATGATTACAGTTATAGTTAAACAAACAGTTCTATTTTAAGAAAGGCATATCACAGAAACATAGGATAGAACTATGGAATAACAACTATCCAAATAATTTCTTTAAAAATAAACACTTGACCCTTGCTCATGTCTTCATGGCTTTAATAAGAGCGAAAGTGTCCAAAACACATATGCCATGTGAGAAAAATCTGTAAGAGGAATAATAAGTTAGAAACAATAAAACTTAGTTTCATTATCTTTACAAAAATACGAAATAGACTAGTAAAAGCTGGTTGTTAAATTTGAAACTATTTCTGTACTTTAAATAGCATTCTACATACAAGCATTAATTAATCAACAGTATAAAAATTTAGTAAAACTAATTGATCCTGCTGAATGATCAAGAGTTCTAACATAATATTTGAACAGCAGCTGTTTTAACAAAAATTTTCGAAGAATTTCAGAAAATTTTATTAAACTTTAAACATATACCACAAAATTTGAAAGTCAGATAAAAAATTTAAAAAAAAAAAAACTTACTTGTAAAAAATTAAAACAATCAAACTTCAAGAGTGACAATCTTTTAGGCCATTGTTGTTTCATGATTTTGTGTTTCAGGGGGTTTCATGACATCTGGCAATTCAGGTGGGCTTGACAATGGTGTGATCTCTAAGCTTTCAAATCCCAAAGTTTCTAAAGAAAAATAGTACGTAGTTTAAATTACAAAAATGAATTTGTACAGGAATTTATGATAACAGAAATCATAACACCAGATTTCATGACGCCTACGAAATATACTACACAACCCTATGGCAGAATGTTTTGGGGCTTTCCGCAACAAACTGCCCTAGCATTAATATTTTTCTTCAAGATTTCTTTAATTATAACAATTACTAATTTAAAGTAACAGAAACGTTGTGTTTACAAAAGTAAAGTATTGAATAAAATTTTTTAACAGAAAAAGTTATATTTTTTAAATTCCAATATTATAGACGCTTTCTCGCATTTGTAGGAGGAAAAATACACTAATTACTTCTATTTTTGAATTTTGTAAATTATAAAAATTAAAAATCGTAAAATCCATGAAGTTACTACAAAATAAAGATCGACAATGAAATCACGCGAATATGACTTTTGTAAAAAGGGATACTCAAATAAGTGTGTGTGAAACATGTTCTTTAAAGGGGGGGGGGGGGGAAA